TCTACCTGACTGAACCCCTTAGCAACTAGCCTAGCCTTAAAACGTATTTGCTCAGTTTCCGACAACCCTTCTTTCTTCTTGTAAATCCATTTACAACCCACAAGCTTCCTCCCTTCCGGTACCTTTACCAGTTCCCACACTCTGTTCTTGTAAAGAGACTGCATCTCTTCACCCATTGCGGCAAGCCATTGCGCAGACTCACTACAACTAATTGCTTGTTTATATGTGGCAGGTTCAAATGACTCTACATCATCAGCTACACTCAATGCATAACCTGTCATCGCATCAACACAGCAATTTCTTCCCTCCATCTCTTCAATCAATCTAACAGGCTTCTTGATAACTCGTTTAGGCATCTCAAGAATGGTGTCAGGTTGACTAGATGACCCCTGATTAGATTGCTCCACCTCATCCCCAGAGTTAGAATGAGTAGGAGTAATCTCAGGTTCAGGAGTACCCGGCACTGGAACATCAGCATCATCATCAATATATTGTACCCGAGGTAAATCAGCAATGGTAGACTGATGTACCTCAAGTACCCCATCTGTCTGTAATAAATTGTCTCCTTCCCTTCTCAAATCTGAAATCTCTGCATTTTTAATTGAATACATGGTGTTTTCATCGAAAGTAACATCCCTACTAAGAATGACCCGACCCTCCGAAGGTGAAAAAATTCTAAACCCCTTCACACCATCCCCGTACCCAACAAAACACCCCTTCTTGGCTCGTGGATCCAGCTTACCCTCAATAACATGATAATAAGCAACACAACCAAAAATCTTCAAATTCGAAAAATTAGGCAACTTACCACTCCAGATCTCAAACGGAATCTTGGAATCAATTCCAGAATGAGGACCCCTATTAATGACATAACAAGCTGTTAACACAGCTTCACTCCAGTACCTCCTCCCAAGCCCTGCATTGGAGAGCATGCATCGGACTCTCTCTAGCAGTGTCTGATTAACCCGTTCTGCTACACCGTTCTGCTGTGGTGTCTTCCTGACAGTATGATGCCGACCTATACCCTCATCTGCACAGAACTGATTAAACTCGTCTTTGCAAAACTCTAGCCCATTGTCCGTTCGTAGCTTCTTGATCTTCCTTCCTTGTCGATTTTCCACCAAAGCTTTCCATTGCTTGAAAACTTTGAAGGCCTCATCCTTTGACTTAAGCAACCTAAGCCATGTGTATCGGGACTTGTCATCAACAAATGACACAAAATAGTGGTAACCTCCCATACCTTCAACTCTAGATGGACCCCAGCAATCTGAATGGATGTAATCGAGCACTGCATCAGTAATGTGAGCACCCTTGCTGAACTTTGACCTGTGTTTCTTACCAAACACACAATGCTCACAAAATTCAAGGTTGGCAACCTTGACCCCGGATAGAAGACCCCTCTTGGACAATAGCTGCATCCCCTTCTCCCCCATATGACCAAGCCTCATGTGCCAAATCTTAGTCATCTCCTGGTGAGATACAGATGCGCAAACCGCAGAACTAGGCAGTGTAACACCCTCAAAAACATAGAGGGTGTTCCTTTTGATACCCTTAAGTACCAACTCAGAACCTCTGAAAATACACAACTCCCCATCTGAAAACACACCATTGTACCCCAATTCATCCAGGGTACCCAATGAAATCAGATTCTTTCCTAAAGCAGGAACATGCCGTACATTAGTCAAAGTTAACCTCCGCCCATCAACAGTCCTCAACCTCATGGAACCAATACCTGTGACCTTACATGGAGCATTGTTACCGACTATAACCATACCCCCATTGCGAGGTTCATATGTATCAAACCAATCTCGACGTGGACACATATGGAACGAACACCCCGAATCTAGAACCCAGTTATCAGATAAATCATCAGACCTAGCAGAACTGACTAATGCTAAATCTTCCTCTGAATTATAGCTCTCATTCGGTTTCTCTTCAACTACAGCAGCCTGGGACTTGTTTTTCCTCACCGGACAATTATTCCTAAAGTGACCCGGTTCTTTACAGTAATAACATGTTTTAGTAGTAGTTTTACTAGATCCATCCTTGCCGTTTCCAGCACCCGACCCAGCATTGTTCCCCTTGTTAAACCCCTTATTCTTTTTAGACTTTCCGGACTTAACAAATAACCCACTACCATTATCCCCATTATCACTCGTAGCTTTCATTCTGAGTTCCCTAGTATGAAGTGCTGCCTTCACTTCTTCTAAGGTTATAGAATCCTTACCAACAACAAAAGACTCTACAAAATTCTCAAAGCTAGACGGTAGAGATACAAGTAAAATCAACGCAGCATCCTCATCATCAATTTTAACATCTAAATTACGTAAATCAAGCAAAATAGAGTTAAGTTTTTCTAGATGTTCCCGTAAGGAAGTACCTGACTGCATCCGGAGGCTAAACAACCGCTGTTTCAGTAATAATTTGTTGGTCAACGACTTAGTCATATACAATGACTCCAGCTTCAGCCACAATCCAGCCGCCGTTTCCTGATCAGCCACCTCCGTGATGATTTGATCATCAAGACTAAGTAATATGGTAGAGTGTGCCTTCTCTTCCATAACTTCTAACTGCGGGTCAGTCGGTCCATCTTCTGACTCCGAAGTAGTACTCTTTGGAGCCAACGGACGCCATATCTGCTGTTGTTTTAACAGAGCCTTCATCTTAATTTGCCATAGCCCGAAACTATTTTTCCCGGTAAACTTCTCAATTCTTATTGTTGAATCTCCTGCCATTGTTATCTTCAAGAAACTCTCCAAGGATTGAACCTGAGCTCTGATACCAATTGTTGTGCGACAGCGGAAGCAAAGGTCGAAAACAAACAAGAAAACAATAAAGAAATTCAATGCAAACAATAAGAACAACACCAAGAATTTACGTGGTTCACTATCGATGTGATAGCTACGTCCACGGGCACCGAGATCGAATGATTTCACTATAAACTGCAAAGATTACAAAGATGATTCTTGTATTTCTCAAGAACGGCTCTCACTCTCTCTCTCTTAACCCTTATACTAATATTAGGGAGGTTTTATATTAATCCCTAAAATAAAAGATACTTGGGCAAAAAGATAACATAAAAGATAACTTTAAATCGTAAAATCCGCGTCTCCGCATTTTTCCTTCTCCGCCCGGTCAGACCGGGCAAGGTCTGCCCGATCGGGCGCGAGAAGAAAACTCCATACGAATGCTTCAACGTATCCAACCCCCACCGCCCGGTCAGACCGGGCAATGTCCGCCCGATCGGGCGGACAAAGCTACGAAGTACGAGTCACCTAATACTTATCAACAATAATTTTTAATCGATCAAAAAAAAATAGCAACGTATAAACAATATAAATTAATCTATGAATCAAGTTACAAACCATAAGATGTAACTTTATTTTCAGGAATTTGTTTTGTTCGCTAAAATGTATGAGTATGGCATAGCATACATTCTACTAGATAACATTTTCTTAAAATAAAATTATTAATAATTTATTTTAATTAGAGTATGAATAATGCAAAATTATAGTGTTCTTTCCGCATTGACTCTTTTATATTACATAAAGATTTGAAGTGAAAAAAAAAAAACACCAATAACTGTCCTTGTGAACTCATTAACTTGTGTAATTGAGCTACTAATGTATTAATAAAAATATCTGCCATGGACGACACTGATGACATTTTCTTAAATTGTTTTAATTATAAGCTTTGAATTTGCATGAAGATGATATTTTTAGGTCAACCAATATTTTAACAAAAATCATGAACCATTCTCAAAATATTCCAAATATTATTGTTTTTATTCCCATCTTAACTTTCATACATTTTCAATTCAATACTGTTTGGCTTAACGTGTTAGCAACTTAAACAAGATGATTAATGTGCAATTAGCAAAATGTTTAATTTATTTCTTATGCTTATTCTTTGGTTGTCTAGATGCCTAGCATAAACCACGACAATAATAATTTATTTATTTATATACTTATATTTCCCTCTTTTTTGTGGCTTATTTTAAGGTAGAATTAGTGTTAAAATTACAAAAAAAAAGTTTGTAAATAAATTTTTATATTTTTTGGAATGTGGGTTGAAGAGCAAAGTATGGGCCAAAGTTCATAAATTTAGCATAAAAAAGAACACATCATACCAAATAGATATTCCATGGGACCGAATATGAACAAGTTTCATACATTTCCAACTCTTTTCTCTCTGTAAAAATACAAATTGAGGGGCCCAATTTGCGGTGGATCATCAGCTAATCTTTGTTGTCAATATTCTTCTTTGCATTGGTAGTTTAAATTGTAAGCCATACTAAACAAAAGTAGCTAGGTTGCTAGAATTACTTCTCAAAAACATTCTAATTAAGACAAAAATGTGGCAAATCTTCAATTAAAGGAATAATTATGGCAAAATCATGTTAGATATCTTGCACGGAGTACAAACATGTTATTTATGAAATAAATATGCAAAAAATCTTCATTGGAGAATAAATGTGGCAAAATCATGGTAAATAACTTGTATAAACATTTTAAGAAAATAAAAATGTGGGAATATATTTTATGGAGACAATAATTGAGTAAATCTACTCTTACGGTATTTAATTGTGAAATCATAGTAGAATTTCTTTATTTTAAGGGTGACTATACTAGCTAGTACGGAGTAATATTAATGCTCTTTTATCCTCACCTTATAAAAATAATAAAGAGTAACATTCAACTCCGTAATTAGTTTTTAGCAATAAATAAAAGTTTTAACATATAAAACCGATTCCATCTCTAATTTTAAATAAACAAATAATCTAGAAAATCAATGGAAATTACTCCAATTGATATTACTTGAGATTTGTGGGTCGTCTATCTTCATCATTTAAAAAAAAAAAGTTAATTTGATTATTATATACGGAGTATATACTTGCACAAAAAGAATTTCTAAAATTTAGTAGTGAATTCACTTCAAAAAGATAAGTTCTACTTCTACATAATTGTTTAAAACAAAGGAATTATAAGCGAAGAAAAACAAGATCTCAACTCAAATTTTAACCGAGTACGCGAATATAGCTTAGCTCACAAGTCGGGTCAACTCAATTCATTTTACCATGTGGTAAATACTTGTCACATTTCTTTCCTTCATTCAGTTACCAGTGAATTTAATTTGTGCTCTACAAAAAAATTACCAGTCAAAATAAAATCCCAAAAACTTAAATGCCATATACTGTTAGTCTGTTACACATCCAAAACCAATCATCCTTCCTCCTTCCCAACAATTCCCCAGTCAACGCCCTTTGACCATCCCTTAATTCTTCTGTTTTCACCACCTTAATAAAACCTACAGCACAGCAGACCAAACCAGAATTCAGGGCTAAATCCGTCATTTCACAACATTTTACTTTCTCTCTTTTTTGGGTGATTTAGCTGGCCTATATAAACCCTCACACTCTCTCTTTTTCCTCTTCGTCGTCTCCTGTGACTCTGTGTGAGCATTCTTCCTCTGTGTAGAGAGAGAAACTCAAAACTCCTCAAAAAATCAACAAAAAATAAAAATAAATAAATAAAAATGAGAACAAGAAGAGGACTCTGTTACCCGAAAATCCATGGCTCCGCCGCCGCAACCACCACCACCACCACCACCGTGACTCTCTCCTTCCATGGCAGTAAACAGATGAAGGTCATAGAGAAGAAGAAGAGTAGAACGAGTAATAATAATGGAGGTTTTGTTAATGGCGGCGGTGATGGTAACAAGAGATCGCTGCTATCGTCGGAAAATGATAAAAACGATTTTGTTTATACTTGCTTTGATAAAGTTGTTCCTTGCCGGAAAAGAGCCAAAATCTCGCCGGAGTTTTCCGCCGGTGGTTCGGATTTCTTCGATGCTTTGCCGGATGATCTTGTTGTTTCGATTCTTTGTAAGATTAGTTCTACAGCTTCTTGTCCTGCCGATTTCGTCAACGTACTCATAACGTATGTTAATGTTGTTGATTTTGATTTTCATTTTCTCTCTCTTGTCAAATTTTATCGGTTTCTATCTAAAAGGAATTGAAGTTTTTCTGATCTGGAATTGATTTGATTTTGTAACAGTTGCAAGAGATTGAACGGATTAGGTCTTAATTCAATGGTGTTATCCAAAGCTTCGCCGAAAACTTTCGCCATTAAAGCTAAGAATTGGTCTGAATCTGCTCATCGTTTCCTTAAATCTTGCTCTGATGCCGGAAATGTTGAAGCCTGCTACACTCTCGGCATGGTAATTTCCTATTTTCTTCCATTAACTCTCCTAAAAAATAATCTCCTAAAATTTAATTTCATTATTTTCTAACATTAATTAAATAATAAATTGCTGAAAAAACGGTGAAATTTCCGTTGTAACAGATTCGTTTCTACTGTTTACAAAACCGAGGAAGCGGAGCATCACTAATGGCGAAAGCGGCGATTAACTCACACGCGCAAGCTCTCTACTCATTAGCGGTGATTCAATTCAACGGAAGCGGAGGCACAAAGAGCGACAAAGACCTACGCGCCGGAGTCGCGTTATGTGCACGTGCCGCCTTCCTAGGTCACGTGGACGCTCTCCGTGAACTCGGCCACTGTCTCCAAGACGGTTACGGCGTCCGTCAAAACGTCGCCGAAGGCCGTCGTTTTCTCGTCCAAGCCAACGCACGTGAGCTCGCGGCTGCTCTCACGTGCACCACCGCCTCAGGGTCCACCTACTGGGTTTCATCGTCGTCACCCCAACCAACCGGGTCCCGCCACGAGGCATCGACGGTTGGGTGTCCTTTATTGAGTGATTTCGGGTGTAATGTTCCGGCACCAGAGGCTCACCCAGCGAACCATTTTTTATCCGACTGGTTTACCGGTCGAACCGGTGAGAACCGTGGAGTTGGGTTAAGGCTTTGCTCGCATGCCGGTTGTGGTAGACCGGAGACACGTAAGCATGAGTTTCGAAGGTGTTCGGTATGTGGGGCTGTGAATTACTGCTCACGTGCTTGTCAGGCGCTGGATTGGAAGTTGAGGCATAAGGGAGAGTGTGCTCCTATGCCAAGATGGGTTGAAGTTAACGATGAAGATGTTAACGCCGGTGACGGTAACGAAAACGATAATGATAACAATAATGATAACGATGAGATGAACGACGTTATGGAAATAGACGGTGATGATGATAGATAACGGCAACGGTGGACTGTGACTGTGACGGAAAATGGGCGCGTCACATGAGTTGGGTTGGGACGTTGGGTGGTAATATTGAGGGTAAAATTGGAAATTCAGTTCTGATTCAGTGGAAGAAAAAAAGGAAAAAGAAATTTTGGTTTTAAAATGAGAAAGGTGGGAATTAATTTTTTTTTTTTATTAATTTTAAATTTGGGTAAAGGGGTAATAAGAACTTCGAACTTGGGTGTTAAACTTTGGTAAAGAATCGAAAATATCCGGAATTAATTTTTTTTTTGGGGGATTTCTTTTTTCTTTGTATAGAGAAAGGGATTTAATTCCCTTTTTGCGGAAATTATGTACTTTTTTATAAGCTAAATTACTTAGCTTAATTACAAAATTTTCAATCAACAACAACTATATCGTCCTTTTCTATTATTTTCCTTTTTTTTTTTGTTTTTTGTATAATAAATAAATAATATGTACAGAAAATTAGTTGAATTAGTTTTGGATGTCAAGTTGTAGTTAATGGCTACCTTATTAGAGAAATTGAAGAAAAATATTAGGTAAGGAGATTGGGATGAATTACCAAACAAGAATTTTGCTGCCATTTAACTTTGAGGAAAAGAGAAGTTAGTTTCTTCACTTCTTCATCTTTAGCTTAATTGTTAAATAATGTTGAGACGATATTTGCATTTTCGAATCGGAGTAAATACATGCTATTCTAGGAATCGAGAAAAAGAAAAGCGGGTTAATTAAAATCACGGGCATTATTGATAACATTGCGAAAAACTATTGGTGACATCCAGTTGTGATATATATAGGCGAATTAGGTAATAATGTGAAGAAAAGAAGGGATCCAATGAAGTAGATAGTAGTATCATTATAGCAAAATAGCCTCTCTTTTTTTTTCTTAGGTTATTGGCTTTTGCTTTAGTAGTGGTGTTGGTCAAAAAAGAGTATGTTTTTGTTTTTGAGTTTTATTTTTGGGGGATTGAATTGACCAAAGATTGGTTTGGTATGGTAAGGTAAGTGTTTTTCATGTAGCTAAAAAGGGGGGATGAGAAGTGGAGAATGAAACATGGAGGAGTAAGTGGGCACTTGGATTGTCGATGGGTGGGAGCCAACCATAATTTTGATAGTGGGAAGATGGAAAAAGTGAGTAAATATCACATTTTTTTTGAAAAAGAAGTGAAGAAATTAGGTATATTTGGAAAAAAAAATTGGGATACCCTAGTGTGGCAAGTGATCAACTTATTCAACTTGGTAATTCTCAAAATTTTGAAAATATGTAAGAATAAAATTTAAGGTTGCATATTAAATAATTAAGTGTACACATAAAGTGAGATAAATCATGTATGGAGATACAAGTGTACCATGGAGGCATTAATGGTTAGAGCTAGCTATATTTATGTTGTGATTGGTTAATTTATTAGCGTATTAAATTTGATTTTTCTTATGAAGTTGTCTCTTTGTTTATGACCCATGAAAATTGATGAAGTTTAAAGATAATCTAAACACGTATCATATTACTTTGTCTTCTTCACATACATGTAGATGTAACGTATACATTTATGAATCGAATACTGACAATTTGTTTTAAATTCTCAATTAAAGCGGTGTATTAACTAACATGAAGATGTACAAATCTGTCTCTCATCATGCAATTGCAAACACTAACGTCTAAAACTTTATGACGTAATTTGTCTCTTTAAAGCAAAACATAAAGTTAAATGCCCTAAACATATCAATTTCCTGATTCACAGCAAATCGAACTTAGCTTGTCAAGTATGGGGACATTTATGATTAATAATTAGCATACAAATAATTAGTCGATACAACTCAAAGATAATTTAAACACGTTTTAATTTATATAGCCTTGTCCTCATCACATATTTACAATGTTGGTATAACTTGTAGCTGAAATTAATCCATAAATGTCCATGTTTGTTATAACGTATGCATTATTATTATTGATTAAATTGTTAAAGTGGAGAAAAATATGGGAGAAAACGGCTTAGCCTACTGTATTCTATTAATCACAAATATATACCAATATACAATAGAATACCTAACTTGCCTAAAACTCCTAAACAAGATAAACTTTCCAAATATACAATATTTAACATATATGAAAAACCAAACTCTAATACTCCCCCTCAAGTTGGAGCATGTAAATCACGAATGCCCAACTTGCGTAAGAGAAAACCAAACTGTTGCCGTCCAAGAGCCTTGGTGAGAATATCTGCCAACTGATTACCTGTCGAAACATATGAGGTAGAAATATTACCGTTGATCAACTCATCACGAACAAAATGATAGTCTACCTCTATATGTTTCGTACGTTCATGAAACACTGGATTCTTAGCGATATGCAAAGCCGACTGATTATCACAAAACAACTGCATAGGCTTTGAATGCTTAATACCAAGAACAAACAACAACATTTTCAACCATTTCAACTCACGAGAAGTAAAAGCCATAGACCTGTATTCAGCTTCAGAAGAGGATGTGGCTACAGTAGGAAAACAAAATAACCTGACAAAGAACGCCGACTCAAGGGGCATGCCGCCCAATCACTATCGCAAAAAGCTGTCAATTGCAAATCCTTCGTAGGTCGCAACAAAATACCTTGTCCCGGACTACCCTTAAGATAGCGCAAGACACGAATAGCCGCATCCCAATGAGAAACCTGAGGAACACTCAAAAACTGTGCCAAAACATGCACTGAATAACTCAACTCCGGTCGAGTGATCGACAAGTAAACCAAACGACCAACCAAACGACGATACTGCTCCGGATGAACAAACGGCTAACCCGAGGCAAGTGCAAGACGATGATTCTGCTCCATCGGAGTATCAATGGGTTTACAACCCAACATTCCTGCCTCAGTCAAAATATCAAGAGCATACTTTCGTTGTGAAAGAAAGATGCCCTCGGGACTCCGAGCAACCTCAATGCCTAGGAAATACTTAAGCAAACCCAAATCCTTCATATAGAACCATTTGCTCAAATAGGCTTTAAAACAAACGATGGCATCATGAGAGTTGCCTGCAATTATCAAATCATCGACATAAACAAGAACATGCAAAGAGACACTACCCTGTACATAGCTAAATAGGGAGTAATCAGCATATGAGTTTTTAAACCCAAAACCTCGCAGAGCACTTGACAGTTTTGCAAACCACTGTCTCGGGGCTTGTTTCAAGCCGTATAAAGATTTATCCAACCTGCAAACTTTGCCAGGTGTCGAAGTACCGTACCCTGGAGGCAATTGCATATATACTTCTTCTTCCAAATCACCATGAAGAAAGGCATTATGAACATCCATCTGATGTAACTCCCAATTCAAAGAAACTGCAACAGACAACAAGACACGTACCGTAGTCATCTTTGCAACTGGAGCGAACGTCTCATTATAATCAACACCTTCAACCTGACGGTTGCCACGAACAACCAAACGTGCCTTGAGACGTTCCACCTTTGACTGGTCTGTGTACTTGATTTTGTACACCCAACCACAACCAATATCCTTCTTGCCTGGAGGAAGATCCACAACGGTCCATGTGCCATTGCGTTCTAGAGCATCAATCTCATCTTGCATAGCCTTACGCCAACCGACGTCCTTAACCGCCTCTTTGAATGAAGACGGTTCCTTTCCCTTAGTGATCGTCGCCAGAAAACACCTGTGTCTGTTAGAAAAACGATTATATTCAACATGACAAGCTATAGGGAAAGGTTTACCTGAGGAATGTGATTGAGGAGGGTCGATATTTGGCGTAGAGGGGTCTATATTTTCAGTGATGATAGTATGAGTGACATAATTCCGATGCCAAGAAGGAGGCCGCTTTTCACGATGACCACGACCTAAATTTTCCGACGAACTCCCCCTCAAAAATTCCGGGTTAATAAAAATAGCAGAACCATCTAATTCTTGCTCATCAACCACACCGGAGCGAGAAACATCGTTAGAAATACCACCGAAAACATTAGAAACACCACCAAAAAATTCGCCGGAGCCCGGACCACCACCGGCGGACTGACCGGAGCTCACTGGCGCCACCTGCTGCCTGGAAGCCGCCTGCACAGGTTGGGCAGCATCCTGCTGATGCGTGCAGGGGTGCTGCTGCCCACCAGCACTGCCAGCAGGGGGCGTAACCTGCTGGGCAGTGAGCTCCGCAGCCTGGCTGCGGCTGGGAGCTGTTCCCCGCGGCCTATCTGCGGAGTTTTGTGCCTGGTGGGTTTGCGAACTCTGCTGGGCAGAGCTGTCCGCGGTCTGGTCGCGGTGAGGGGGTTGTTGCCGCGGCTGGGTTGCGGACCTTGCTGTCCCGGGATTCGCACCCCCTTCGTTAACAAAATCAGCCCGTAAATCATCCTCTTCGTCATCCCATAAAAGAGGTTGTGCAAAATATTTTTCCCACAACATTCTCCTCTCATCCGGAAGAGACTCAAGAAACGGGAATTAATCTTCGAAAAATTGCACATCCCGACTCACAAAAAAATCATTCGTCTCCAAATCATAAAGACGCCAACCTTTCTTCCCATGGGGATAACCAACAAAAATGCATTTTCGAGATCGCGAATCAAAATTATCTTTGACACGAGGACGATTCGCAGCATAAGCAAGACAACCAAAAACTCATAAAGTGTCAAGAGAAGGCAACTGACCAAATAAAAGCTCATAAGGGGTCTTACCTTTCAAGACTGGAGTCAGAGTACGATTAATGAGATGCACCGTAGTCATAACGCAGTCACCCCAAAAATACTTGGGCAATTTAGCCTGAAACCGAAGAGCACGGGCCACATTTAAAATGTGACGGTGTTTACGCTCAACTCTACCATTCTGCTGAGCCGTGTCGACACACGACGTTTGATGTAAAATGCCCTTCTGAGCAAAAAATGACCCCAGACTCAGAAATTCTTGGCCATTGTCACAACGAACTACCTTGACTTTCTTAATTACCAAATTGAGTCTTTGCCATAGCACAGAACTCACGAACCAACTGAGAAGCCTGATATTTACCAACCATCAAAAACACCCAAGTAGCACGAGAAAAATCATCAACAATGGTTAGAAAATAACGAGCATCACAACTAGAGGCAATCTTATTCGGACCCCAAATATCACAATGAATTAAATCAAAAATTCCAGATGCTTTATTCATACTTAACGGAAAAGAGTTTCGGGGTTGCTTCCCCATAAAACAAATGTCACAATTAAACGAACAAACAGAGTTACTACTATGAGTACTATGACTACTAGAAACTCCCGGAAGAGAGCTCACAACTTGCATTGACGGATGCCCGAGACGCCTATGCCATAACAAACTTGCATCTGAAATAATCACTTTGTTTGCCTGCAGAATCCGAGCACGAACCGGATGAAAAATATAGACCCCATCACATTGGACCCCCGC